GAAAATGAACGAACATGTTTAATATTTGAACATGAACGTTTAAAAACAAATCTTGATTTATGTATTGATGAAAAACAACATTTAATGCAAAAACAAAAACAAACAACAAATGAAATAAAACAATTTAAACTTCGTATACTTGCATTACAAGATCAAATAAATAAATTAAAACGAAATAATCAATTAATTAATAAAAAAAATTTTATTAATTCATCATCAACAATAAGAAAACGTATAACAAAAAAAAAGAAACCAAAAACGTCATGTTTAGAAATGTTACTTGATCAAAATTCAACATTTATTGATGATTTTCAAAATGAATCATCAATTCTTTATCGAACACTACCATCAAAATCTGATAAATTTAATATTAATCAATGGCGACGACAACGACGATATCGAACGTGTAGTCTTTGTGATTGTCATACTCAAGCTTCATTCATGAAACGTAAAAGACAATCATCAATATCATCAACAATACCAAAACGAAAATGTTAGTAATTAAATATAATTCTTTTTTTCTACTTTTATTTCTTTTCAGATGATCCATTAAAAAAAAATTATAATAATAAAATTCGTTTAGCAAATTCTTGTCATCATGATACTTATTCATATCATATTAGAAAACCTTCGATATCTTTAACAACACAAAAAATTCCAACTAAAGTAAATCATCATTTAATAGATATATTATAATCAATAGGTTTGTTTTTCTTTTTTATCGATTATTAGATTGGAGCAATGCGTAGACGTATTGAACAATTAGAAATGAATCTTGCTGATTCGAAAGAAGAAAATGAACAACTTACTCAACGTTTATCAACAACATTTAATCGAATTAATATTCTTAAAACAACGAATCAAGTTTGAATTTTCATATATATTAATTTTCACTGTTTATTTTTTTGTCTTTTAGAGACTTATTAATGAATGTAATAAATTAAAAACTGATTATCTTACTCAATCAACATTACCTGGACAAGAAAATCGACGTAATGATTCTATTAGTTCTGATGGTGGTGAAAATAATATTGATAACTTATGTACACGTCTTAAAAATACTTCATCTGATGCTGCTCGACAACGAAAATTAAATAAAACTTTACAAATAGATAATGAAACATTAACGAAAAATCTTCAATCATTAACTGAAAAGTATAATAAACTAGTTTAAAGAACAAGAAAAATTTATTTTTTTTCTCAAAATGTTCTTTTGTTATATTTGTATATATAGATTGACACATACAGAACGTGATGTAGCAAGTAAACGAAGTTTAATTGAAAATTATAAATCTCGATTGAATGAATTCGAAACAAATCTTAATCGTTCAAATGAGAAAACTATAAATGAAGTAATTAATCTAATTGTACATTAATATTTATCGATTTTTTTGTTTTTTTTTCTGAAATTTTAATAGAATGATGAAGAACGACTCAAATCATTAACAGAAACAATGGAAAAATTACGAGTTTCAGTAAGTATGTCAATAATAAATGGACTAAAGCCTATAAAAGATGACCATTTCAGAAATATTTTTGATTCAAAATCTCAGTTGTATTTCATCTTATCAGACATTTGTGAGATCAATAGATAAATTAATACAGCCTCGTCAAGATTTACATTTCAACAGTATTCTGTTGATAGAAACTAGTTTTTTTAAACATATTTTCAAATGTTTATGAGTTGTTGTTTGAATATGAAGCGAATATTGTGATGAGCGAAATTTATATTGAATATGTGGAATATGAAAGAATGAGTTTTCTCATGGATGAAAGAAGAATTTACAAAAATATATACTTTTTGTTGATAAATCAATCTTTGGGATAACGTTGATTATCCTATAGCTGAACATAAAGATGTTTTTGAAAATTATATATCATATCATCGAATAAATTTCAATAAAATCTATTGATTGACATACGAAATAACTAAAAGAAACTTAATTAAAATTTCACATTAACATAAAAGCACCGTTAAAGAAAAACAAAAAACAAATGAATTGTATTTCAAATTGAGCAAGGCACTCCAAAAAAGCATTCAAGTATAGTGCAACACTAAATAAGACTGTCAGCTTGTCCAACGATGATTGTCACCAATATCTTTTATCACCTTACTTTGCATAGTAAACGATCATCCTAACAACATATGTTTTTTTTTGTTCTTGATGGATCATTCTATAGGATATAAGGAATGGTTCTTTATTTAATTTTCTTTTTTTATAGCTCGATTCATATAAAAATCGTTTACAAGCTGTAACACGAGAAAAACAAATTCTTGAAGCACGTTATGGTCAATTGGTTGATGAACATCAGAAATTAGTAATCGACTTTTTTTTGTTTTTTTTTTTTTTTATATTACTCCTTTGAATTGTTAAATATTTTGATTTCATCTAAATAGAAAACACATTTTGAAGATATTCAAACTAAACATCGTTTAAGTGAACAACAAATTCGACAATGTCGTCTTAATCAAGAACAGTTAAATCAAGAATTATTAACAGCACGTCGGTTAACTGAACAACAATTATTATCATTGAATACAAAAAGTCAAGATACATTAAATAAAATGATATTAGAATTAAATCGTACACAACGACGTTTAAATGAATATGAAAGATTTACTAATGTAAAATAAGAAAATAATGCTTTTTTTTTATTGTTTTTGCTGGTTATATGTTTTTTTGAAGCATGACCTAAAAGGCGTTAGTCAGAGACTCCAACAGACACCTTAGCAATACCTCCTGCATTACAGATCGAGACAGACGTCATCGATATACGATCTTAAATAGATAGAATAAAGCAATCTTTCTGTGATGAGCACCATTAACTACATCGTGTTTCATGTTTTAATCCTACAGAAATTGTGCTAATAGCTTTTTATTTGTTTAGGGTTTTCTTCATGAAATGATTCGACGAAATATACAAATGAATGATACTCTTAAACGAGCACGTGAACATCAAAAACAACGTGAATCATTTTCAATGACATTGCCTGGTTATGATACAGCAATGAATACAGCAAGTAAAATATTAAATTTAACTCAAGATGATCTAGATGATATTATGTCTACAACAGATGAAAGTTTTCAAGTATATTTATATTTAATTAAATTCTTGTTTTTTTGTTGATTTTATCGATTGTTTTTTTTTTATTTTCTTAGGGACATTCTAAACTTGATAATGGCGATAAAAATGAAAAAATACGACAAAAAGTATCGAAATTACTTGTCTCACAAGAAGAATTTTCTGGTAAACTTTTGAAAATATTCAGTAAAAAATTAGATGAAATACAAGAAGCAGATCGAAATTTAGCTACTATTCGAAATACATAGATTTTTGTTTTTTTTTCTCTTGTGCAACACAAGCAGATTAATATTCGTCTGGTTTTTACTTTCACTATTGGCATTTTTCTTATTTTTTAGTTTTTTTTTTGTCTTTGTTTTTTCTGGTGAACATTTTTTTTTTCTTAGGGTTGTTTTATATGGATAAGTAATCTCAATTAATTCACATGTGTGTGTGTGCTTTTGTTTTAATATAAAATATGATAAATAAAAATAGTTATATACAATCTTCAGTCACAATTATAGGTTTTTTTTAAAAATTCTATTTCTAGTTCAATAGGTATAATTAATGTATAGACTTTAATAGTAAATATCAATGATCTTGTCTTGATGGTAGTGATAAATATCATTTTGTCTTATGATCGGAAATGTTTCAATTGAACTTTTTAATTACTAAAAAAAAAATAGTTTTATCGAAACAAACATTTAAAATTACTTATGAATCCGATTGAAAATAGATGTGCAATACTCTATTCAATTTGATTCAAGTTATTTCTATGCATATTAGTTAGAATTGATTTATTTTTAAATATCTTCAATATTTTTTTTTCCTTTGGTAAAATGTTGCTTTTTTTTGTCTTAAACTAGATGGCATTCGAGTTTCACTCGATTGCGAAATGCGGTGCGAAGCTATAAATGTCGATCGTCAAAAAAAATCGGTATTTCATGAGAAACGAATAATCGTAGAAACGATTATTCGCACAACGCTTTTTCCACGAGATTCTAAAGAACACTGTCGATTTATTGTTGAATTATCTATATAATTCATTATTTATGGTCAGCTGTCCTTGCAGCTGTCATGAACAAAATCAGGTTATCGAATAGATGATGATTAATCTTTAATGATGTCTTTATTTTAATCACCATAAAGCTTGAAAAACAACAAAGTCCACAAAAGGGAGAGATTCGTTATAAGCAAAATTGTCTGTACCTCTTATGAAATTCAATTTTATCTTACCTGTTTTGTCATTTTGACTGTTAGAAATCTTTGACTAATAAAATCAAACCTTCTAATGCATTCTGTATCGTATAACATGCGACTGAGCTAACCGAAATTTATCTATGTTTTATGTCTTCAAAATGACAAAAATTATAGAGTGTTTTTATGGAAAATACTCCATTCATTTGCTCATATATTTTGTCGATCTATATGAAAAACTAAGCTGTTGCAGTTCTCTATCAAATGATGTATGAATATATAATATCACTTAATACTCTTCTCCAACGGTAGCAGTATACTTCGAAATCCATATCAATTGATAGATCTGGACGAGATCTACTTAATAGTGCTAAGAAATCCACGAAAAAGAAGTGAGATGGTATGTCTCTTTTTCGAAATACTCAAAATAGTTCTATGTTGAGCATTACTATGTATATGTTAAAATGATGGTATTGGAATTTTTGTTGACTGAAATGCATAGATTCATTCTATATTTTATACTAACAGTGGATATGAATGGGTGTGCGCGCTGGTGAAGAGAATATCCATATCCAAACCGAAAAAAAGTGAACTGTTCTTTTTACATATTAGCATGTATCCAAAAGACTTTCTTTGTCCAAAAATAAATCAACAGTTTGTTTTTTTTGGTTTTCAATTATACAATGTACAGCACATACAAGTGCGACACGAGGTGCTGGTTGCAATGCATTGCTCCCAGCGAACTCTCGATATATTCCAAAAACATGGTTCAAATCTATCCTACGGCATGTCTGCTATTTTTTCTGGAAAATCGATTAATTACTATTTTTCCGGTACAATTCGAATTATTAGTACCTACTTTTCGAGTACAAGAAAGCAAAATCCTAAGATCCAATCGCGTCAAGTCGGTTTGATCCCGATCAGACGATTCTAAGGTGATTCAATCTCGATCATTGATCGATCTCTCAATATGTTCCCAGCTAGAGGTCAATTGAGAAATAATCTTGGGAAAAACATGTACGACAATGCATAAGTTCAGTGTGTGTCGTCGACTTGGTTATATGTCACTGTGTATGCGCAACACAAAATAGTGAATGAACGATTAGTCACTAGATCACGACACATTTTCATGGCACAGCCTGCGACATATTTTATTTTAGTCTGTTGACTGAGAGCGATGCGAGAATTTCAAATTATCTATGATTGAAAATCTTTCTCATTTGTATCACTCAGATGGCTTGTTACGGTCCTCGTATACGGCTCGATCACTGCCAAGATCAGATAATGGTATATAGCCGTATATACATCATATTCCTACCGCATACGATCACCATTCAAATGTTTTCACAAATAAGAAGGCTATCTGGAAAAATTCTATTCACATCTTGACAAAATTTTATGTGTTCGTGTCACACCGAGAAAAAAGTTGAATGCTCTAGAGAACTGGTTGTTGAATAGTCGTTCGATTTTAATGATCTTTTCAATATGATGCTAATCATACATAGTTTATAGATAGATTTTCGTGACATTAACTGCATGTGAATCAATGATTATGTGAAAAAAAGAAATGAATATAATATAATGAACAGTGTTGAATTGATTTTTAATGTATTTTGATTGATTCGAACTCACCAGCACGATAGAACAAAATAGACATTGAAACGAAAAACTCTTCATAAGATGCAATTACATAATAAGGAAGTAAGAAAAATGTACTATTACGTTTCTTCAATAGTCCTTTGTTTACATATTTTATCATCACATTTTCACACACTGTACAGACATGGACGAAAGAAAAAAAATCAATGACACCAATAATAAAAATTGTTGTGTGCTTTTTTTTTTGTTGATTTATTTCGTCTATATTAGTTGTATTTTCAGAAGAAACTTAAAAGAATCATGCAACCAACGTTACGACCAATGCTTATTATTCGAGGAATACAGTTATATGTTTGAACAAAGACATAAGCATACAATATAATAATGGTGTTTTTTTTTCTTACTTTTAAGTTAAGAAAAAAAAAGTCTTCGTGTCTTTGATATCACTATCGGTTTTAGTTAGATAGTGACGTATATTAAAATTGTGTGAATCTTAAATGTGAACAAACACAATCTGAATATTATTTCTTTATGAATCGTATCGAAATTAATGGAAGAAGAACAGTTATACAATTTCATAAGAAAAGAAAATTTTTTTATGATACATATATTTCGATAAAATATGGTAAAAATCAAAAATTACCTTAGTAAGATTGTGAATGATGATATATACATTCTGAACATGGCATGACTAACGCCTATAATTGTAATCAAGCAACTCTTAAATTATTGCAATATCTATTCAGTAGCAGCTGGCGTGGTTTTCTAGATATAATTTGGATGATAATTGATATAAAACTTTTGCTTGTTTGCTATATCAATGAGTAAAATATTCATTGAAGTGTTTCATTCATTTTCAAATTGGCGATAGGTATTTTTATCTTTCATTATTTTCAAGCTTCAATTATGCAAATCATCATTACTTTAATAACTATAAGTACGATACATATAGCTGAGAATTAAGCAAAATAAGAACGATTGTTGCTTCAGTTAAAGTTGAATTTATGTTTTTTCTTGTGTCATTCGCACTATCAGCATAATAATTAGGTACATAGTTAGAAAAACAAATCACACGGACGATGTCCTTAGTTTTTTTTTAGTTCTTGCCAGCAAGAGAAAAAAAAAGATTGCTTTGAAAGAATCGAAGAAAAATATACAACGTATGAGACACGGTATCTGATGCAATGAAACTTAAGTCACGCTTCACATGAAACGTAAATGAAAGCGGAAAAAATAATCATTAAATAAATGACGTTCTTAGTGCTTTTTTCTTTTAATTTGTTTTTGACAAGCACATCTTCAATTGATACTAGGCATTGTTTGCTATTGAGTGTTAGCGACAAAGAAAAACAAAATATTCACATTTGACGTCGTAGAAAAATCTAACAAAAAAAAACCAGCGTGCATCGACTGTACGTATAAATACAAAAGGTAAACTCTATCCAAGTAGCAATCTGTTATCCACCATACACGATTATCAATCGAACAACCAACATAGCATCAAAAATGAGTCGACAACAAAGACAACGTTTGACTGAAAACTATTTAGTCATCTGGGTCGATGCAAACATTAACATGGAAAATGAAGATTGTCAACATACACTGACGCGATTGCGTAGCATTGTCAATGAAGTGAAAATTTGCGCCACGGCAGAACAATGCATTAGATGTCTCAATGAAAATAAGGAGGAGACATCATTTGTTATATCCTCTGGTGCACTTGGGCAATATCTTGTACCAGATATTCACGGAATGTCAAAATTAGATGCGACATACATCTTTTGTCGCAACAAACAACCGCATAAAGAATGGGCAAAAAATTGGACAAAAATTAAAGGCGTCCACAAAACAATCAAGTCCATATGCAAAGCACTAACAATCGCTGTCAAACAATGCGATCAAAATAATACAGCAATCAGTATAAATTAGTGCCGATGAAGATGGTTCTAGCGAAAATCTCAATCAGCTAGAACCAACTTTCATGTATTCACAAATATTCAAGGAAATCCTCATTGATATGGAACATGGTCAACAAGCAATCAAAGACTTGGTCACCTTTTGCCAAGAAAAATATCAAAACAATATCCACGAAACAAAAATTATTGAAGAATTTGAACGTACTTATCAACCATCAAAGGCCATTTGGTGGTATACACGTGAGTGTTTCACGTACAAAATGCTCAATCGAGCATTACGAATGCTTGATGGTGACATCATTATCAGAATGGGTTTCTTTCTTTGTGATGTACACCAGCAAATCGAAACTTTGCATAAAAAACAAGTTAGTCAATATCATGGGGAGGCCTTTCTAGTTTATCGAGGCCAAGGATTATTGATAGATGACTTCGAAAATCTCACGAAAAACAAAGGTGGGCTTTTTTCTTTTAATAACTTTTTATCAACAAGTACGCATCGAAATGTTTCACTCGGCTTCGCAAAAGATGCCTTACGAACGGTCGATATGGCCGGTATTCTTTTTCAAATGACCATTGATCCTACGATTTCATCGACTCCATTCGCTTCCATCCGCGAGGAGAGCTATTACCAAAAAAGAAGAGGAAATTCTTTTCTCCATGAACACAGTTTTTCGAATTTGTGATATTCAAAAAATTGACGAAAATCGCCCGCTTTATCAAGTGGATCTTAAACTTACGTCTGATGATGACCAACAACTTCGTCAATTAACCGACCGAATACGACAAGAATCATCAGGTAGCACTGGGTGGCATCGAATCGGTGTCTTGCTGCTCAAAATAAGCCAATTCAATAAGGCCGAAGAATTGTACATGGCATTATTAGAGCAGGCATCTAACGACAGTGATAAGGCATATATCTATAACGCGTTTGAACGTGTGAAACTAGAACAAGGGCAACATAAAGCAGCAACTTTATTTTACGAAAAAGCACTCGAAATCTCTCGAAAAACTCTTCCGGAAGATCATCCTTTATTGGCTCCTGCCTACAGTAACATCGGTGTACTGTATAAGGAGATGGGTGACTACTCAAAAGCACTTGAGTTTTACGACAAATCACACAAAATCTACGAAAAAGCTCTACCTCCGAATCATCTCTCATTGGCTATTTCCTACAACAACATCGGTCAATTGTATAAGACCATGGGTGACTACTCGAAAGCACTTGAATTTCACGAAAAAGATCTGGAAATCACGAAAAAAGCTCTGCCTCCGACACATCCTGATTTGGCTGCTTCATATAACAACATCGGTCAAGTGTATTACATCATGGACGACTACTCGAAAGCACTTGAGTTTTGCGACAAATCACATAAAATCTACGAAAAAGCTCTGCCTCCGAATCATCCTGATTTGGCTATTTCCTGCAGCAGCATCGGTGCTGTGTATAGCATCATGGGTGACTACTCAAAAGCACTTGAATTTTATGACAAAGTACATAAAATCTTCGAAAAAGTTCTGTCTTCGAATCATCTCGCGTTGGCTTATTCTTATAGCAACATCGGTGGAGTGTATGACAACATGGGTGAATACTCGAAAGCACTCGAATTTTGCGAAAAAGATCTCGAAATCACAAAAGAAGCTCTGTCTCCGTCTCATCCCGATTTGGCTATTAGTTACTTGAATTTTGCAGTGTGTTACGAACGAATGGGTGATTACACAGCAACTCTAAAAGCCGTTCAAAATGCTTTCAAATTCAGCAAACAACATTTGAAGAAGATAATCCAGCTTTTGCTGCAACATATAGTAGATTCGGAAGAGTTTATCGCTGTATGAAAGATTACTCAAGGGCACTCGAGTATTTTGAAAAGGCCCTCACAATACGTCAACAAACGTTACCTGAAACACATCCCAGTCGGGCTATTACATGCAGTGATATCGGCGATGTTCATCGATTAATGAAAGATTATGAGAGGGCACTTACATTTCATCGAAAAGCATTAAATATTCAAGAAAATGTTAAATGCAATCCTCTGGAATGTGCAAAGACATATACAAATTTAGGTGAAACTTATCGACAAATGAAAGATTATTCAACAGCATTGACATATTTTCATAAAGGATTAAAAATACGTCAAGAGAAACTACCAAAAAATCATCCTGAGTTAGCTGTAATTTATCACAATTGGTCGAAATTATATAGGGCTACACGACAATATAGTATGGCAATGACAAATATTGAACAAGCAGTTGAAATCGCTCAAGAAAAATTGCCGTCAAATCATACTCATGTTTTGAACTATCGTAAAACATTTGAAAAAATTCGAAAGAAATTGTAACTTTTGTGTTGTTTTACTTGCTCAATAAACTCGTTTTGATCGATATTCATTTGCATTGGATATTTTTCTCGGCTCATTTTCATGCGTACACGCGTTCCCAACCAGGGAGAGACCCTGTGCGTATGAAATAGGTACACACAGAGCGGACCACACCGGACTGGTACGGCAATGTACATAGGTATACCATACATGATGATGGCAGGGGCCTACGTACATAAAGATCTTCCTGAATACTATACTGCTTTGGTCATTCCATGACGAACAGAATCTCTCTCTAGATCAGGTTGTGATATAAATTAATACCTCATCCTACTCAAACAATATACATTACATTGGTATAGCAGAAAAAAACATTTTATTATTCCATCCGAAATAGATTAGGTCTATCTTATCAAAAAAACAATAATAAATTGAAACGTTCTAGTGGCCACTAGAAAATGTCAATTTATTTATTTGTGTTTCCTTCGAATTACAACAAAAAAAAAACAACTCAATAAAAAAAAGATATGATAAGCAACATAACCGATTTGATATTGAAATATATAAATGATTTATTAATATACAAGAAAATCATTCGTTGTATATATGTCTTAAACATTGAGTGGAAGTTATTGATGATAATTGATAATACAGCATTGATTTCCATCAGTTCAACAATTGATAAGATGATCACTTTTATCGTCGTCGTTGACGACGAATAATTCATCAATATTCTTTTTTTATTTTATTTTTCTTCGCTTAAAAGGCGAATATTTTACATATATATCGTTTACAAATCAATGTTTCAAAGTATGACATTATTCTACAAAACAATAAAATTATCTATTGTAAGAAGAAACCGGTTTCTTTTGACGAACAATGATAAAATAATAAAACAAAAACTGACTCGTGATACAAAATACTTCATTAAAACTAAAATAATTTATACAATGAGGATTGGATTCACAGATTTAAATATGTTTTTATATGTGGTATAATAATAAGTTGTATTCTCTTATCACTATTTTATTTGATTCTATTATAGGAAAAGAGTTGATGTTGAAATACGGCAATCAGTTACAATATTGATAATTTTTTTCAGTAAAACTTTTATTTGATATTATTGGTAAATATTTCTTTATTCGAAATTATTTCGATACTACTTTATCATAATTGAAACACCATTTATCATGGCAAATATTTAAATTGATTAATTTTAAAAAATGAATTCACATATATGATCATAGTAAAGTTCTGTTTATTACAAGTTTCTATGAAAACAATGCATAATACTAGTTACAGAGAATGTTAAAACGACTAAAAGAAGAATTACATTGACATATATTTCGCTTTTTTTTTTAGTGAAACATATCATTGGTTATTTGTCGCACTCAAATATTAAAACGAATTAATTTGAAGTAGTGCATGTTGAGTACGAATAAAGATAGATAATAAAATAATTTAATTTGTATGTCATAGATCCTTCTGCAAAGCAGTTTCGAAATCAAATTAATTTTTTTCGATTTGAACTACGCGTTAACACGAGAGATTTCAGACAGAATCCCTTTGGAGTAGTAGTCAAGGTAGTATTTCATCATCAACCACTGTGATTCCTTTATTTCAAATAGAATTGTAGCTTCTTTGATTACCAATGACAAGTCAATAGTAATATTTGAGCTTGGACTTATGGTTCACTTTTGCTTTTGTTGAAAATACATCATCAATTAATTCAATGGTAATCTTGGATAACGAACTTTTTCTTCTATAAGCGAACTAGATAGATAATGAAATGATGAAATTTCTTCGTTAGCAGTGGAAAAATTATTTTACTTTTCACTATTTAGAAACATATTCAACTGATTTCGAATAAAGTCTCGTAAGATTTCGAGCAATTGTTTCGTATATTAGTGTTAACTTGATGGTGCGGACAAATTCTTGTATTTCCTAGATTAATCACTTTGACGGCTATTCTCGAATTGAGATCTCATTTTGCAACGATAAGAGTGTGGAGTGTCGGTATAGTTTTTAGTACTCTTTTCACCTAGTCCTACATCCACACTCAAAAATTGTTTTACTGACTTACTGTGTAGGGTTTGTATAGTAAATGCATTTTTTCAAAACTTTGAAAAACCGTCCAAAACTGAATTTTTGCCTAGATCAAACTCTGTAGAGGACATTCAAGAGTATATATCTATGAGAAAAAAATCAATAGGCTAGTATGTCAGCTTTCGGGAACACGACGCCATTTTTCAAAGATTCTCCAAAAAATCGATCTTCGGAACTTTGATGGAAAGAGGTTTTACTTATGAAAAGATGTCCGAGAGTCTTGGCTATTGATTGTTGAAAACTGTATGCCATTATCTTGCATTTTGAGTGTGAAAATAACTGTAATGAAGAGAAAACTCATATCCACATCCACACGTTTTATCTCACTAAAGTGAAAAGGTGCTATTGATCAACTAACCAATATGAACAGAAGCGACGTACAACTATAAAAATCTAGTAATCTCCAATATTTTATCTAGCTTATTGTACAAATAATAACATTATGTTGTTTTAAAGAAGCTTTGTTATAGAATTATGCATTCTATACCGAATAACTATTATTCAGGTTTCAAAGCAAAATCTTGAATTTCACTGGTGAAGTTATTTGTTACAAATCATTATTCACTGCTTAAGAAAAAGCAATATTCATAACGAGTTTCGCATTTTTCAAAGAAATAGTTGTCGATCCAATTGTTTTAACTCAAATCTCATTAAAACCATCAATTTGCAAACTATACACTACGTATATTCAAATATTTCTAATATGAAATGCAATCGTAGTTAATCACGATATATTAAACTAACTGTTAGAATGAAAGAAGAAAGAAAATATACACTCGTGTCGAAACAGTATAATTAAACACATAAAGTGGCTACGGATTAGACAGTTTTCAGAAGTCAAAAAGCACTTTTCTTCTATGTCATCCTACCTTGTAAGCCGAGAAATTGAAATCGGAATTGATACATGCATAATTGATGTTTCACGTGATTATTCATTATTGACCGCGACAAGTATGAATCATCAACATATATGTCAATCTCTATGGTCATTTTATTCGTTCTTTATTCGAATGTTCATCTAGTTCTTCATATTGAACGATATTATTCTATCTATAATAGATATCTAAATTCAAAAATAGTCAGTTAGAACATTAGATTAGACAAAATGTCGATTCGTAGTGACTTTCTTGAACAATACCATATAGCTCGAACGAAATTCAATACAATCAATGAACAACAAGAAACATCATATCATAAACGACAACGAATAATTCTTGAAAATTCACGTATAAATGCTTACAAACATACACTTATTCAGTCAAAACGACGAGAATGGTCTATATTTCGACGTAATGAATATTATCGTTCATCTCTTCATCCAGTTCGTCTCTCGACAAATATTCGTAATTCATTTCAAGTAAATCAAAAAAAACAATCACAATCTTCAAATATCTCTTTTTCAATTATGATCAATACTTTACCTCCTCGAATCTATCCATCAACATTAAATATTCGATCAGTATCATCAAAACAATCTATGAATATTAATATTCTTCATCAAACTTCTTTTCTTGGTCAATTCGATAAAAAATTCTTAATCACCAAACATCTTATCCGTTCATCACATATCAATCAAATACAATTAATTCTTTTTGATCAACATGCTATATCAGAACGTATCCTTCTCGAACGTCTTCAAGCTCATTTTAAACAAGAAAATATTCAAACAATTCCTTTTCAATTATCTGAACCAATTGTCATTGCTCGTAATCCACGTTTTCTCTATACAATTGAACAAATATCTTTACTTGAACGTACAGGCTTTATTTTTTCTTCTATATCGATTCATAATCTTCTTGTTCGAGCTGTACCTGGTTGGCTTTTATCACTTGGACAACGTCAATCATCAAATTCTCTTCTCGATCATATTATTTATGATACAATCGATAATATTCTTCTAAAAATAAATAATTATTCAAATAATATCGAATTAATTATATATGAAACACTTAAATCATTAGCTTGTCATAATGCTATTAAATTTAATGATATATTAACGAACGATGAATGTCATCATCTTTTAAATGAATTAAAATTATGTTCAATGCCTTTTATTTGTGCACATGGACGAACTTCAGTTGCTATTCTATGGGAATATGATATTATGTTGGAAAACTATCAAGTCGATATGACTGAACTGAAACAATTGGCTTCAATTCACAAATGGCTTAAAGAATCCTAATTGAATTTTTTATTCTATATAGACCAACAGAAGAGAAAAAAAACAATTATCATGTACAATTTTTATACATAAGAAAAAAAAATGAATTTGTTGCTTGTTTTTCTTTAAGATTTGCTAACCGATGAAGTATTCATACCTTGTCTAAATAAATAAAAGAGATAAATTTATTTGAAATAATTTTTATTTTTACCGAAGTCGTTCATCTTCTTGTTGTTGTCGTTCAATATTGGCAATAACAGTATTCATATCAATAAGTCGTTTTTCAGTAGTTTTTGGTTTACCAACTAGAAATTAAAAAAACAAAAATTTTTTTTTGATACAATATGAAATATATTTAATAACTAACCAGTTGAACGAAATGATGAAACAGTTATATTGTTTGATGTTAAGGCATCATCATTATCAAATTCATCAATTTCATTCATTAATCTATGACAAACAAAAAAGATAAAATTTAATTCGAAAAAGTATAATTTGATTTTACTTATTATCTTCATGTTTTGAATTTGTTGATTCATCTGACTTCATAGGACTAATAGTTTTTTCTGTAATTTTTTGTTTCTTTATTCGATTCTTTTTACCTGGACTTTTCCAATCAAGTTCAAGAATCTAAACATATATAAATTTATGCAAAAAAAAAAAAAAAGATTTTTTTTCTATCCATACCTTTTTCTCTTTTATTTCATTATATAATCGAGCAATAACATCTGGAGGTGGTTCACCAAAATTCATTATTACTTTCAATTTCAATCTAAAATTCTTTAAAAATTCAAAAACAAAACAAAACAGAACACAACATAAATTTATTCCTTTTTTATTCACAAAAATAATATAAACAAAATTATTGAACAGAACAACTTTTTTTATCAGTTGAATGACCACTATTGCTTGTTGTTGTAGCCGTCTGATAGATAAAAAAAAAAGAAAAAGAAACAGAATAATTCAACTTGAATTATTAACTTTAATATTCCTTTAGCAGATGTTTCCTACTTTTTAATAGTGGGAAACACACTACTTTAATTATAATACTTACAGTTGTTCGACGTCGTTGAGCTTCTTCTCGTTCACTTTCTTGTAAAGCTTTTGCTAATAGATAATCATTTTCTTCTTGAGTTCTATCAAAAAAAAAAAAAAAAAAAAAAACAATATTTATTAAGCAAGAAGCATTATTTTACCTTTGATTTAATGATAATTTCATTGCTAATGCAAGTGAAGCATCTTCATCAGATTGATTTTGATTTTGATTTTCTATTCTTTGACATTTATGATCATCAGGAAATCGATGTCGTAAACAAAATGTTTTCAAACATTTTTCACATTTAACTTGAATTGCTTCACGTTGTTTACATGATGAAACAGAACATTTATTTGAATAAACTTTTGCACGTTTTTTTAAGGCAGGATCAGATTTACAATCACGATCTATATGTGCAGATACAACACGATCTGGTGATTGATCACGATATTCATATGGAACAGCTTGATTGCATAAAGGACAAATTGGTATTTGAATATTTTTACGATATGATGATGGACATTGATGTTCATCGTATTTTATATGATCTTTACTACGACAAAAGAAAAACATATAAATGATTGATTGAAATCAAAAAGAAAACAAAAAAACAATAAAAGAATTTTACCAAAAAATAGAACTACATGCATCACATTTCATAGGTAGAAAATCTAAAGAGATCAATTATGAATTCTAATCGAATGTATGCAAAAGAAAAAAAAAATCTACCTAATCGATTGCATGTTTTGACAGAACAATGTTCACCTAGTTGAGGAAGTTCCATATCTATGAATAGAATAATCATCCATAAGCATACATCTAGCGCCCACTAGTTATTGTCACGTGGCGCTGTTCATAAAAAAATTTATTAAAATAATGAAAAAATTCTCTTTTTTTTCATTTTTAATTTATTTATTTTCTAAATAAAAATAATTCTTTTGAATTCTTTTCTATAACAACAACAACAATAAACAATCCTTCATCAAAAGACTAAAACACTCAATATGGATTCTTCTAAATAAGAATAAGTACATTTCGTCATTGTTCGCAACAAACTATTCACGATCGTCAACAAACATTTCACAATCGTTTTTAGATTTTTATAGAATACAAGAATGAGTTATAGCGGTCGTGGTGGAAATAGTTATGGATTATCCAGAGGTAAATTAATCATCTAAATACAAAAATGACTTTTATATATTTTATTTATTATGAAGGTTCATATGGAAATAATCGAGTTCATACTAATGTTAAAGAACGTGATCGACATGGTGGTAATAATTTACTTGACGATCTTGATTCATTTGTTGTTGGACCATTACGTCCCGGTCCACCGGTAATAAAAAATTTTTATTCCGAATCACTATTAATTAGCAATCGACCACAAGTATAAAGTTTTCATATATATATATATTTATTAAATGATTAATTTTTTTTTTTGATAGCATACTACAGATCAATTTTATGTTCAAAATGAAATGACAATACGTGGTTTTGCACCTAAACCAATACTTTCATTTGATGAAATGCAATTTCCTAGTAAATTCATTTTTGTAATTTTCTTTCGAAATGATTAATTTTTTTTTTAGGTTCTATTCGAAATGTTATTCATCAACTTGGTTATATTCGACCAACACCAATTCAATCACAAGCTTGGCCTATTTTATTAAGTGGCAATGATCTTGTTGGTATTGCTCAAACAGGTTCTGGAAAAACTTTATCGGTAAGATGATTTCTTATACATCAATTTCTATTACGTTTTTTTTTTATTACTATCGTTTAGTTTATATTGCCTGCATTAATTCATGCTGCTGGTCAAACAAATGCACGATCAGGTGATCCATTAGTATTGATTTTAGCACCAACACGTGAATTAGCACAGCAAATTCAAGCAGTCGGTACTGATTTTTGTGCAGCAACAAATGCACGTAGTACTTGTATTTATGGTGGTGCACCAAAACCACCACAAAAACGTGAAATACGTTATGGTATCGAAATTTGTATTGCTACACCAGGACGTTTATTAGATTTTGTACGTGAAAAAACAATTAATCTTGATCGTGTAACATTCCTTGTTTTGGATGAAGCTGATCGAATGCTTGATATGGGTTTTGAACCACAAATACGTAAACTTGTTAAATGTATTCGAGTAAATATATTTTTTTTGTTTTATATATAATTTTAAAAAAAATCATTTCAATAAAATTTAGCCTGATCGTCAAACAGCTATGTTTAGTGCAACATGGCCAAAAGAAGTACAAAAATTAGCAACAGATTTTATGATAAATTGTTCACATATAACATTGGGTAAAGCTACTTTAAATGCTAATCAAAATATTCACCAAATTGTTGATGTTTGCGAAGAATATGAAAAAGAATCAAAGTAAAAAAAAAAAAACTTTTTTTTTTTTCAAATAAAGAAATATTTTATTTATTGATTTTCAAATAGATTAGCAAAAGTTTTAGCAGCTGTTATGCGTGATCAAGATTGTAAAGTGATTATTTTTGCTCAAACAAAAAAACGTGTAGATGATTTCTTTTTTACAATTAAACGTCTTGGTTATCCAGTTTTTCCAATACATGGAGATAAACGTCAACAAGAACGTGATCGAGTTTTACAAGGTTAATTTAACAAAAACAAAAGCAAAAAATAGATTGTTTAAGATCTTATTATTTCATTTTAGAATTTCGAAATCGATCACGTGTTATTCTTATTGCAACTGATGTTGCTGCTCGTGGTTTAGGTATGTTATTATTTGTTATTTCTTCTAACAAACAAGTTCATTCATTGTTATTACTCTGCCTCCATTTATTATCTTTCTTTTTTTTTTGTTATTGTTGCAGGTGCGTCTTACGGCAGAGGCGTGCCTGCACATGTATCATTGCTGTTCTACAAGCATACAGACAGAGGGATAAAAAGAAAAAAACTTCGGATGAACATCAATATATATATATCATGAGTGTTTTAAGTATTGTGACATGACGACGGATACAAAATTTGATTATAATTGTGCTAAGTCGTATCGACGTTCGGCGTGCCGATCTACTATGTTATCGTATTGCCTTCGAACGGATGGATAAGAAACTCGTTCGATACCAATGCGTACACATAAAATAAAAAACATCGGCGGTCGTTGAACATCTTGGACTTGGCACACGGTAATAATTTCATATTTATTTTTTTTTTATTGTTTTTATTTTATTTTATTTTTTATTTTTTGGTTTTTCATATCTCAATTAGATTAACTTAGAAAAAAAAAAGGCATAATATTTGTTTCATGAGGAGAAAAATAAAAGGAATAATAATATTTGTTTTCATGTCGTCATGCTCGCATATTCTGACTAATAGTTAGAGAGATCATTAATTAATTTATATGTATATATATATATTAAGATGTCGAAGATGTACGTATTGTTATTAATCTTGATTATCCACCACAAACAGAAGATTATGTACATCGTATTGGTCGTACGGCTCGTTCAGGTGCTAAGGGTACAGCTTATAGTTTTTTTACTCGTGAAAACGGAAAACAAGCACAAGAATTAATACAATTATTGAAAGATTCAAATCAAGATATTAATGAGAAATTATATGATATGGCAAAAACAAAATATTTTGGTAATAATTCATCTGCGCGTGGTGGACATAATTATCGAGGAGGTATGTGAATTTAAAGAAAAAAAAAGAAAATTTTTTGTTTTTCGAAATTGTTTGGTTCGATTTTTAGGACTTGATCGACGAAATGGTATTGGTGGACCTCGTAATAATGATCGAAATGCAAATAATTTTAATAATAATAATAATAATAATAATAATAATACTGCTCGACCAACTCGTTTTAGTAATAAACGATCACGAAGTCGTAGTCCACCAACACGTCCATCACGTTTTGATAATAATTCACATGGAACTGATTATAAACGTGCTCGAACAGATAATTCTCGTCCCACACATGTAAGTTTTATATATATATTTTTTTTCTTT